TTTAAGAAGTGTTACTGCACTTGCACAACAGAATCATGTGAAAAGAATTATCTACTGGGTGGTGACTTCAATGAGTAACAATTTTTTTTAATTTAAATTTTAACTTAACTTGAGTTTAGTTAACTTTGGGTTACATTCATTCCCTATCATGTTATTCCAGCTCAATCTCATCCCCAAATGAAGGGATAGATGAGCTCATGCTTCTGAGCTCATCCAGGACTCCCTGCAAGTTGTCTGCTGCCTCCCTGACTGACTTGACAAATTTCATGAGCTCAGATCTGGTTTGAGTGGCTTTTGAGGAAGACTGGTTCTGTTCCTCTGATGTGTCAGCTTCAGCACTGTCAGACTCGTTGACCACTAGTGCAGCATTGTCAAAGGTGGACACAGAATCTTCGGTTTCATTCACAAACATGGGCTGAGAGGCAGTTCTCTCCTCTGCTGCCTTTGCCTGTCTAATGTGGTGTATCTCTTTAGCATCCATGGCAATGAAGAAGATGTCTACTGCTATAAATAAACCTGAAAGCACACCTGTTACTGTCTCTGCCACACGTACTGCTCTGGTTGCCTGTGCTGCGATCCTGCCAATGTTAACTACTTGAACTAGTCGAACCAGTTCAGAAATCCCACCTAGGCCCCTCCCTGCCCTGAGGCCAAGCCGTGCAAGTTGATTTTCACTGGAATTGCGATCAATAGTGTCAGCTGACTCAAATCTGTTTCTGATTTCCTGCAAGCTGTTGTAAATCTCCTGGAGCCAGGTGACTACTGCATTAATTTTCTCTTCAAACTCTTTAATGATGCTTCGAACAGCTTTGCGATCAGAGGACTGGTTCACCATGTTTGTGATATTCGAGGCACCAGCAGCGGCACCACCAAGTGTACTCACACCCACACCAACTCCAGTTACAATAAGAGAGGTTCCCAAAGTGAATGGGGCCAGTATGAGGCCCACTATAGATGTAATCCCCCCCATTGCTCCAATCACACCTCCTGTCAAACTGCCGATGGTGGTGCCCTGATGCACACGCTCCAGACCATCAGCCACAGTCCTTAGCTTCATCAGCTTGTCCTGGAGACCCTCCACAGTTGTTTTGCACTGTTGAAAAGGCAAAGACATTATCAGGTGTGGTTACAGATGACATAAGGCGCCCCATCATGCTCGGTATAATTCAATGTGAAACACTGCTGTTCAGTGTGGTGTAAAGTTACTCTTTAAAGTTCCACTTGATCAAGGGGGCACAAATCCTATTAAGAAAATACTATACATGTCTAGTCAGAAGTATATTTTTACCAACATTACCTGGATAAGAAGGCTTTATCTGTAATAACACTGGAAATAGGGCAGCAGGATTCTCATCAGAATGAGAAGAATTTTTTCCAGTCAGATTTGAGATCCTGATCCTCTCAGGGGAATCATTTTTTAAATATCTAGAATTACCTCTTCATGTTTTTTGCCTCTGCCAACCAGTCAAATACGTGGATAAGGGTCAGAAGTGAGGTCACTGACCTTTGGCCACCAAAATCAAATAACTTCCATCTTGCATCCAAGTGGACACTTGTGCTAAATTTGAAGAAATTCCTTAAAGGCATTGCTTAAAGGGTTGTGACGATTACCAAACAAGAGAACACATGATACTGGGCTCACGAGAACGAGGCAAGATGATATTTTTTTTGAGAAATCTTAACCATTTTCTTTTGCATTTTGTGGCTTTCAGTCAAATAAAAAAGTCATATAATTCATCACTTAATGCCACACTTTTGTCAAGTGTGTCAAATTCATTGTGGTGGTGATCATTGTTCCAATATATACAAGCCTGACTGTATAAACATTTTTTGTTTTACAATATTATTAGTTAGATTTTCAGTTGACTGTGTATATTTGTTGGGTTACATGTTGTTGCTTAGTAATATATATGCTTTTGTCTGTTATCTTCTTTAAATTAGGTTTAGGAAGAAAATGGTGAACATTTATTGCAGGTGATCTTCCTGCTAATGTAAAGATAGTAGAACTGCAGCCCTGAATGGAAATTTCAGAACATAAAAATACTGTACATATACACTATATTGCCCAAAGTATTCGCTCGCCTGCCTTCACATGCAAATGAACTTGAGCAGCAACCGATTCTTAATTGATAGGGTTTAATATGATGTTGGCCCACCCTTGGCAGCTATAATAGTTTCAGCTCTTCTGGGAAGGCTGTCCACAAGGTTTAGGAGTGTGTTAATGGGAATTTTTGACCGTTCTTCCAGAAGCGCATTTGTGAGGTCAGACACTGATGTTGGAAGAGAAGGCCTGGATCGCAGTCTCCACTCTAATTCATCCCAAAGGTGTTCTATTGGGTTGAGGTCAGGACTCTGTGCAGGCCAGTCAAGTTCTTTCACACCAAACTCACTCATCCATGTATTTATGGACCTTGCTTTGTGCACTGGTGTGCAGTCATGTTGGAACAGGAACGGGTCATCCCCAAACTATTCCCACAAAGTTGGGAGCATGAAATTGTCCAAAATGTCTTGGTATGCTGAGGCATTAAGAGTTCCTTTCACTGGAACTAAGGGACCAAGCCCAGCTCCTGACAAACAACCCCACATCATAATACCCCTCCACCAAACTTTACACTTGGCACAATGCAGTCAGACAAGTACCGTTCTCCTGGCAACTGCCAAACCCAGCCTTGTCCATGGGATTGCCAGACAGAGAAGCGTGATTCATCACTCCAGAGAACACGTCTCCACTGCTCTAGAGTCCAGTGGCAGCGTGCTTTACACCACTGCATCCGATGCTTTGGTGATGTAAGGCTCGGATGCAGCTGCTCGACCATGGAACAAGCTCTCTACACACTGTTCTTAGGCTAATGTGAAGGCCACATGAAGTTTGGAGGTCTGTAGCTATTGACTCTACAGAAAGTTGGTGACCTCTGTGCACTATGCGTCTCAGCATCTGCTGACCCCGCTCTGTGATTTTATGTGGCCTACCACTTCGTGGCTGAGTTGCTATCATTCCCAATCGCTTCCACTTTGTTATAATACCACTAACAGTTGACTGTGGAATATTTAGTAGCGAGGAAATTTCACGACTGGAGTTGCACAGGTGGCATCCTATCACAGTACCACGCTGGAGTTCACTGAGCTCCTGAGAGCGACCAATTCTTTCACAAATGTTTGTAGAAGTGGTCTGCATGCCTGGGTACTTGATTATATACACCTGTAACCATGGAAGTGGTTGGAACACCTGAATTCAATGATTTGGATGGGTGAGTGAATACTTTTGGCAATATAGTGTAGTGTGTCCTGGAATAGTGAATTTAATATTGGATCTTTGGAAGTGTCATACCTTTTTTGAGAGACAGCTTAATATAAAGGGACGCTGCAGGATGTCACTGGCTGGTGGTCCTTGCGTCTTGACTCAGGGTCTCTATTGAATATGTCATTCAAGAGTTGGCGAAGCTCTGGTGAGAACTCCTCAGGGAGGGATGGGTAAGGTCCACAAAGTATCATGGGCATGAGCTTGACTATGGAATCCGCTGAAAACTTAGGGAGAACAGTTGTTAGAAAACACTTATTGATAATAGTAATGTCACTTTCCACATTACTCCATATGAAAAATAAACATATTACCCATCAGTTTAGTTTTATGTTACTCTGTGTAGGTCATGTTATTCCATTCTAAGATTAGTATTTTATTTTCCTTGTCTGAAAGGCAAACAGAATATTCTACTATAGATATAGAAAGCCTATTAACCATAAGTTTGCAAATTAACTGTAAGTGGAGGGTTTTAATATATGTTTCAGCGTGGATGTGATAAATTTGTGATTGTGTTTACTGCCATGGAATGGTGATTCTGACCTGGATGTGTTTTGCAATTACATCACAAGTCTTGGTGATACACTTCTGAAAGCATGCGGCTCTCTCCATTCTGTATTTTAGTTATGCCCTTCTCTACCACAAACTGTGTAGGGACTCTCATGCCTGCTGTACTATATGCGGTCTAAGAGCTTAAAAGTCAGCAAAGCAAATAATTCTTTGATTGGTAATTATCCTTGATTTTCCTTGATAAAACACTGGCTGTAGAGCATGAATTTCATGTTTTCACACTGAAGTAGCAGTTTGGCTTTGGAGATGCTTGAAAGACAAAGAAGAAGTAACAGTAAAGTACACAGTACTTTTGGTGGAGAAGCTGTATATGAGATGATGCTTTAACCCTTTCCAGCTACATACAAATCAACAATTCTTGATTGTACATCTTTTAAAACAGGGGTGTCAAACTCAGTCGCACAGGGGGCCAAAACCCAAAGCACACTTTAGGTTGCGGGCCGAACAGGATAAAAATTTATTGAACAGACTAAAACTAAACGTTTTTTGAACACACGTTTTTTTGAACATAAATATGAATCGAAACAGACAGGACATAGTATTATTCCAAAATAAACAAACTTGAACTTAAAATCAGCAACCGTATTTGCAAACAATTGCTTTTTGTCTGGGCACAAGACGTCGCACACATTCATCATGCAGCGCTTCAAAAACTCTCCCTCGGTAAATGGCCGTGCTCATTTGGCTATCTCCTATCTGCCGCAATAAAACTTGCTTTCACAGCAGCTTCACTGTGTGATATCGCTTTGGTGAAAACGTCTGCTGTGATGTCAGATTCCTCTTCAACTCCTCTACCTTCTGTGGCTTCTGCTCTGCATTCACGTTTTTCAGCTTGTCCTGATGTTTTGTCTCGTAGTGCCATCTTAGGTTATATTCCTTAATTACAGCCACATTAGCTCCACAAATAAGACACACGGGTTTACCGGCAATGTCAATAAACATATACTCAGCCTCCCACCGGTTT